GGGACTAGAGCAAATGTTTGAATTAAACTTTGTAATTGCAAGTTTCCTTCTTATTTTAAGGTTTGTGGTCGTATGCCAGGTATTTGAGGCTGATAAAAATCTGAATGTTCCTGAAATGCTTCCTTCTATAAACCAATTCTTAGCCCAGAGTGCTGTAAGTACTGAGCTTTGCATCTAACAGTAAGTGTGAAGTTGGTGGTTGTCTTAGTTACTTTTTACTCATTGCTGAGACAAAATACCTGATGACCAAAGTTGGGAAAGGAAAGGTTTATTTCTTACAGTTTTTGGAGGTTTCAGTCCATAGTCAGTTGGCTCCAAGGCAGGGTGGTATGCTGGGGCCACAGTTCATGATGGCTGCAAACAGCAAGGCAGAAACTGGCAAGAGAGCAAGACAGGCTTCTTCTTGCCATTACATCACATCCTGGCTCCACCCTATGTGGGTGTACCACAGACACCAATCCAAGCACTAGACAATGAACCAATCACAAATGCATAATGCACACATGAGGCCTGGGGGCCACCAACGTAAAACATGACAGTGGTGTTGATGGAGGAAACAAATATTTCCACAGTATTAACTAGAAATTCTGTTAACACATTCAGAATTTTGAGGATCTAAATTGTTTTTTGGAATCAGAAAAACGTCTTCTTACTTAAACAAAAGTTGTCTGTATATGGAAATTCAGTCTAAAATACATTTTAAAAATGCTGTCTGCTTCTCTTTTATAGAAACAGCAAGATGTTTTGCTTATTTTTTTAATTTAAAAGAACATTTCACCTGCCTTCCTGTTCATGTCTATATGTCATTTTCCAAAGAAACATTAGTGTGATGTCCAATTTAAAAAAATAAAAGCAATATAAATCTTAGCTAAAGTTTCTTTTAAACAAAGCATTGCCTTTCCACCACTGATTGAATTCTTCTGGTAATAGAACTTTGATTTTCTTTATCACTGATTGGTTTCTTCTGGTAATAGAACCTTGATTTTCTTTTGCAGAATGACCCTCTTCCATTTTTGTCTCCAGGTTAAAGTACATGGTGTGTGTAATGATTCAGAAATTGCCAATGAGACATAATGCCAAGATTGTATTGGAACTAGTGAAAAATAAGTGCTTCATTGCTCCTGTAAAGATTATCCACAAGGATGATATTATGAGACGTGGAAAAGTGGGGAGAAATTAATACAGAGGAAAGGGAAGATTTTGTTTGTACCCCTGGATCCAGGCTTATCTGCAGTTACCCATCTGCGGATTTTTCATTTTTTAAACCAAACACATTCCTTTCTTAAATTTGCTTTAGTTTAAGTTTTTGACATTTGTAAAGAAAAATTCTTCATATTACAGCACAAAAGAATTCATTTATTACACATAAAAATTTCTAAAAGTCTTTCCTACCTGTCAGTATCTTAGTGTCACTGAGAATGGCAGTTGTGCTGAATCCCTAGTGTCACTCTCTTAAAAGTCTCAAAATCTTCTTCTAAAGTCAATTCATTTTAGGTCTTTTTTCTAATTACCATCCTCAAAACTTCTTTATCCTTTCTTTCCTTGAAGAGAGGAATAAAATCTAGCTGAGCCTTACAGATCAGCCTAGCCTTCGGAGGTTGCTTTTGCTTCTCTATTCCTTAACTAGAGCAGCACAATGAATACCAGTCTGAACAACAAGCGATCCTTTGTCTTAGAATGGTGAAAGTCTGGAAATATTCATGTTAACTGTAATGTTATGGTCTCCTTTACAATTGAAACAAAAAGTGTGTCTGCTTGGACATTAATTCTATCTGCAAACAGTTCTACTTGGGGGTCTCTTTATAAGTTTTGCCAACGTATTGTCTTGGGTTGCTTGTTACCTTTTTGTTTTTGTTTCTATTTTTTGAATTGAGTGACAGGACTCCGTGTAGTCAAACCAGTGTGCTTGTTTTTATAAACCTGAGAAATAAATGGTAGCATCCTGGTTTCAGACTAAGCTGACATGGAGTGCCAGAAAGCAGCTTAATGACCATTACTCATTCTATTGCCCTTTTGTTTTCCTGTTGGGGAACATACTTCAGGTTCTCAGAAGGAACAGTCAGTGACTCTCAACAGACAACTGCGTCACTCAGAAGCTTCTTCGTAAGAACATTTATCAGATTCCGTGCCCAGGACTCTCTTAAATGGCTGACACTACTGACTCATTCAGAAGCAGCCAGGTGCAGTTGGTAAAGCACCAGCGCTTGCTCCATAAAGATCTAGATGAGTCCCATGAGACTGGGAGCGCAGCCAGGACCCTGAATCTGGGCCCTATCTGGATTAATTTACTTTACCATACGAAGAGTATGAGAAAAGCTCATAAAAGTACAAAAATAGTTTATATATAATTAGGCTAAATTGGAAGACCAACTAGTCCACTCCCCTACAACACATAGAAGCACTTAAACTTATAGAAGGGGGTAGAACAAAGGCCAGGAAATATGCATGTGTAGATTCAGCCAGGCTTTAGCCTACTAGTGAGAAAAACATTGAAAATCTGCTTCTTTTGAAATATCCTTGGCACCAGGACTGGAGGTGGCAGTTGTTGCTCTCAGCATGAGGAAGCTGGATGAACAGTTAAAATTTCTAATTTTTAAAGCTCCATTATAACATCTTGGTTTCACACACATCAGGAAGCAATCATGGATAGGCATGGTGGCATGGTGTAATCTCAGCACTCAGAAGGCTGAGATAGAAGGATTGCAATGAATTTAAGGCTAGCCTGGGCTACATAGTGAATCCAGGCTAGCCTAAAGTACATTGCAAGACCCTGTCTCAAAAAAAAAAAAATGCAATCATAATTTTCTTATATTGGGATGATCCTGAACCCTTTTATGAACTCACTGATTATGAGTTGTCTAAATTCTACCCTTGGATCTATTCAAATTGTCTTTGGCACCTGTGAGCTATAGGTGCAGTGGAAAGCTCCCCTAGCATGATGGCTGCCCTAGCTAGTAGCTAATTAAGCTAGTTGCTTCAGTGATAATGGATATTAAAACTGAGGCAATCAGCACACATCTACAGGAAAAAAGGCTTTAATTGAAAAGTAAGAGAAAATGAAGGGGAGGGAGCCACTGCTCTAAGAAAGAGTGAGGTGGCCCCAAACAGAGAAAACAGAGAAGGGGTTTCAGTTAAAAGAACTGAAGGGAGCCAGGTGTGGTGGCGTATATCTGTAAGTCCAGCACAGGAGGCTGAAGTAGGAGTTCTGTGAGTTCAAGGCCAGCCTGGGCTACAAAGTGAGTTTAAGGCCAACCTGAACTGCATAGTGAAACCCTGTCTCAAAAAGACAAGACAAAAAAAAAAAAAAAAAAAAAAAGAGGAGCGAGCTGGAGAAGAAAAGAAGGAGAAGTTTCAGGTCTGAAGAGAAGGATTAGTTTAGCCTACCAACAAAAGAGTGGGACCAGCTTTATGTGGTGCTGTGGTGGGCTGGGTTCTGATTGGTCATTATCTCAATTCTGGTTTCCTAACTCTGGAGGAATCTTTATGGCTTGAGGGGCAATTTGATTCCCACAAAATAACTGTTCTTCCTAGGATACAGTGACTTCATCGTAGGGTGGTCTGAAGTTTCCTCTTTTCCTGGAATCCTACATGATTGCAGGTTTACAGCAACATCTCTTGAGACTTCTAGGCATTGCTCCAGGGGTGTTGGAACTGCGTGTTCCAAAAGCTAGTAATTGTATGAGCCTTCAAATCCTGAAACTTGCTTTAATTACTACCTTGAAATCCTTCCTAAGTCTTGGGGTGGGGGCAGATGAGATAGCCTAGGTAAATTTAAGGCAAATAAACCTCTCATTACCAATACTCCATAAGTAATTAAAATGCTTATGTATCATGGATCTGACTTCAAATGTTAACAAAATAAAGGAGACAAAAGTAAAGGCAGTGGCGCCAAGCTTTGTTCTGTTTTTGGTTACCCATTGAGCATCTGCAGGTCCAGCCTCTAGGTTCCTATTACAGTAGAAGATATGTCACCTATTGAGTCCCATGTTTTACTTACTCATCTTTTTTTCTCATGATTTTGCCAACCATAGTAAAATAAAATCTATCATTAGTGTCCTGGAAAAGTAAGAAGGTGAAATAATTCAGAAGTTTAAGAAAGAGACTTTTTTTTAAAAGGGTGAACAGTGTTGAAGGGAACCTATGGGAGGAGCCATTATTAACCTCAGGCCTGAAGGGCAATGGCAGCTAATGATCAGATAGCACAGAACTGAGGAGTGGGTAAGGAAACTTAAGTACTGGCTTTCAGATGAAGAACTTAGCCCCGGCTTAACAGTGTAGGCTGCTGGGAGTGAAGGTGAAGTTCTGATCAATATCCTGCCCTCTGACCTACAAGTGCCTTCCCCTTGGCAAGATCAACTGAAAATCAAACAACAGTTGATGCAAAGATGAGTCCCAAAGTCACAGAAAGGATAGAAAGTGAACCTGAAGAGACAGAGGAAAACAAACAAACAAACAGCAGGAAATGCTTCTTTCCCCACAGCTAGCACACTAGTTCAGATCTTGCCCTTTGTTGCCTGGTCTGGGGTCATGGACTTTCTGCCTGTTCCCTTGACCTATCTAATTCATTGCTTTGATGATCACATCTGTTTGCAAGAGACTGTATGAACTCGGCCTGGTATTGGGCTACATAGACTAAGGTCAAGGTAATAGCTCTGCAGTGCCAAGATCCTTCTCTCAACGACTTCATTTACAAACTGTATAGTGGACTCTGATTATGATTTGCTGACGCTGGGCACGTTTTTAAAAATACAAAATCAACTTCAAAATGCAAACGATTGGGTGGAACTGAGCTACCTCTTTGAACTCTTTCAGAGTGGTGGATGACCGCTTCAAACCCACCACCTCCAAAGGCCTTAGCTAAAGAAGTCAGGCGAGTGTTTCACACATCCCTGGATTACTCTTCCATCGCCAGGGTAGACTAAGTTCCTCAGCCCAGGCACTAAACCTGGGCGCCCCCAGTGGTGTAGACTCCAGCCCGTTCCGGATGGGGGTGGGGTGGGCAGCGGAGAGCGCAGGCGCAGTGTCCGCGCCGGTGGCGCCCCTCTTGCTGCTCCCAGCTCTTGGCAGCCCCAGCAGAGCGCTCGGCGGCCGCAACTGGCTGGGAGGCTGCGTTAGGTGCCCCGCACCCAGCAGACCCTCTAGAGCCCGGGTCGCACCTTCCTCGCGGCGACACTCAGGTAATCGAGCCGCTCTGCCGGCTGGGACCTGTACCCTTCCTGCCCCGCAGCCTGGCCGGGAAGGGATGGGAGCGGACCGGACTCACTACCCACTTTTAGACTTGACAACTAAGAGACAGCCCATTTGGGGGGGTAAAAACTGGCTGGAAGTGAAGCGTCCCGCCCCTTTTGCAAACCCCGATTTGCTGATCTGCAGAACCCAAACCGTGGGTTGGTAAGGTCAGCATCAGCTTCATCCCAGCTCCCCATTTCCTGCCTCATCAACTTTCCGCGCCCTCCCCCGGCCTCTAGGGTAAAGGTCTGGGGCCGCTGTACCCCCCACCCCGGCCCTTAGCCAGGCTGAGTCCCTGTGGCGCCCTGGATCTATTCCTAGTACAACTTTTTTTAAAATGCTGCATGGTTTTGGGAATATGGCCAAGAATGTGTATGTGCCAGTACTCTCGTGTCTCAAGTCCATGACCCGTGAACGCCAGAGTGTTGGGGTGATTTTCGTGACAAGAAACCGATTAGGAGAGGCGAGGGCGAGGGGCGGAGGAGGAAGGACCGCCATGGCCGAGCTCGCTGCAGTCCGCGCTCGGCCTCCTCAGCCCCCGGAGGACAGCAGTCTCCGCCCCTGATGGTCCTCCGGGTGTAGACATCTACGCCACGGGCACGCTTTCGGCCTCATGTGAAAGAAGAGCGAGAAGAGGTCGGCGGGGAGAGCAGGCAGGAGACGTCCATTTCCGTGCGGGCTTTTACCCAGCTCCACGAGGAGCCAGGTGGAAAGTTCCAGAACGAGCGGCGATGGAGGCCTAGAGATAGCAAGGAGCCCCGTGCAAAGTACGCAACGGGCAACGGGAGGAGCAAAGGAGGGGCAATTACGCTGCTGCTTCCAGGGTAAAGACTTGCAGGGAAGCCCGTGTCCGTGGTGCTGAAGGGCCTCAGGTCTCCTCAACTGGCCTTCTGGGCCATGTCCTTCTAATGGGCATGGTTGCCAAAAATAACCCATTTCCAAGGCAAGTGGATGTAGTGGAGAGGGTCATACACTGAAACTCATTGCAGATGATTTTGATTCTGATTTCCTGAAGATAACATTGAAAGCAAGTGTGGCTCGCCTTGGCGGTGCTGATAAAGCATATGCATAGCAGATTTGATTATTCACATGAAAGTACACACTGAGCATAAACAGGCATCCTCACATACGTATGCAGGATACACATACATATGTGTATATGCACATTGCGTTTCACAGGGATCATGTGCCATAGTTAACACATTTTATAAAACTTTTTGTCATCTATTTTTATTTTTAGACACGTCTAATGTTATGGATTCTGAGTATCATTAATTTTCACAATCCAAAGGCTTAGTGCCTGTATATTGAAGTGCTTTATATTTAGCGTAGCAAGTGAGGATTCATACACATTTAAATTCCAGAAAACAAGCTAGTCTAGAAGAGCCCAGTGGTAGACCATCAGCTTAGCGTGTTTAGGCTTGTACTGGGTCCTCAGCACCATCAAAAACAAAAGCAAATAACTATAATAACAAGAGCAATAAAACCCACCAAACCTACCCTAGAAAAATGTAAAACTGATATTGATATTTAAAAAAAGATTCCCAAAGGTAGCTTTTAATACAAGGTCCAGATAATAACTAACAATTTCAAATATATGGATGGGTTACGGTTTGTGAAGTTTTTGTTTTGCTTTGCTCTGTTGACACAGGATCTTGCTCTGAGGTCCAGGGTAAAAACTGATGGTTTAAAGGGTAGATACTTTTTATTTTTGATATACTTATTTGTTCAGTTGTTCCTTTCCTTTTTCTTCTATTTTGTAGTATTCTTAGCATCTCCAATACTACCACATTTGAGGAGCACTTATTGGAAGAATACTACTTTCAGATCATACTAAGAAACTGTATGCCACTGTAATTCCAGTTACACAGGAGGCTGAGGCAGAAAGATTGCAAGTTCAAGATGAGCCTGGGCTTAGTGGCACACTGTCTCAAAATAAAAAAATAAGTAGAACTGGGGGTGTAGCTCAGTGGTAAAGCACTTGCCTAGCATGCATGAGGCCCTGAATTTGATCCCCAGTGTCACACAGATAAATAAATAAATAATACCAATAAACACCACTATCAACATTGACGTATCCCCATACTTCCACTGAAATGACATTTTATTAAAGTATTTTCCAATTGGACAGACAGAAAAGAACATCTGTTTATATGCTTCTTGCTATTTTTTTTCTTGTTTTATACCTTGCTAATTTATATCTTTATTTTCTACTGGGGTGCTTATATATTTTTTGGTTTATGAAAGCTGTTTATACATTATGTGTTTTACAAATTTTTTCCTTTTTTCTTTTTAAACTTTGTACTTTGTATTTTAAGCTGTATAAAAATTCAACCTTTACATACTGGAATATAAATATATTTATAAGTTTTGACATTTATATCAGTCTTGTATCCCTTTATAATAACTTATTATATTTAAGATTTTACAAAAATATTACATTTTAAACTCTAGGATTATTCTCCCATTTTACTTTTGAGTTAAATTCAGTTCATCAGTAGATTCCAAATTCTACTGGCGATTGCTTCATAAGAAGTAATTACTTAGCCTGGCATGATGGTCTACTCCTTTAATCCCAGGACCTCACACTGAGCTATGTCCCCAGTCCTTTTATATTGTTTTAAATTTTGGTACAGCGACAGGGTCTTGCTAAATCGTTAAGTTGCCCAGGCTGTATGCACCACCACACCCTTGCTCTCATTTTCTTTTAATTTTTGTTTCTGTGTCTTTTACAGAAGCTGTATGTATCTCTTTCTAGATGTTTACTACTGATTTGTATTTTTTCTTTTGTGAATTATTTACTCATGGTAACCATATTGCTTTTATCTGGTCATTAACTCTGTTTTTGAACAAACTCTAGTAGTCTTTATCTATTTGTGTTGGCAAACCTGTCAATGAGCTTGTCAAGAATGATGGTACAGTACTATGCTCCAGATCCCAAGATGAGGATGGGCCAGCAACCACACTGAGTTTTGTTTAATTAATGTAGCTGATACTTCTATTTTAGCTATGTGAAATCAGAAAATAATACTTTTGGAGTGTCTTAGTTCATTCAGGCTGCTGTAATAAAGTGAGTGGCTTATAAAAAATGAAAATTTATTTCTCTAATGGAAGCTGAGAAGTCCAAGATTAAAGCCCACAGTTGGGCCTGGTGGCACAGGTTTGTAAACCCCAAAATGTGGGAGGCTGAGGCAGGAAGACTACAAGTTTGTGATGAAGAATCCATATCAAAATAAAAAATTAAAAATAGGGTAAGATGTAGTTTAGTAATAAGACCCTGAATCACTTCCAAATCACTTCCAAAAGGCCCTACCTCCAAACGCTCTCACACTGGGGATCAGTGTTCAACATACATATTTGGTGAAGGGGCAAGGACACAAACTGCCAGGGAGATAAATAGATCATAAAATGTAAATTACTTGTTTGTTTTTATTTTTATTTTACTGTGATGGAAACTGAACCCAGGATCTAAGCAATTTTTCAATCACTGAGCTATATTCTCTGCCCACAAGTCCTAAATTTAAAGCATTAATTTATATACTTCTGGGTTTTTCCAAAGAAACAGAGTTAAGAAAGTCATGAGGGTGTGTGTAGATATAAATATACCTAAAAATCAAATATAATTTCAGTTGGAGCTTACAGAGTTAGACTTTGACAGTATAATATTTTAATCAAACGGGTAGCTACAATCCTTAATACCTTATACCTTGACTAGCACTGCTATCCAGTTTAGATCTTCCCAGTAATCTGTTTAGTTGTTGGCGTATCTAGCAATTTAATTATTTGTGGTTAGCACAATAAGGATGAAAAAATTGATGAAGGAAAGAAGAAATGTTAGGTGAATTTTCCTTTTTTTTTAAGCCCTGGTTTCTATGTAACTCTGGCAGAGTCATTGTTCTAAATAAGGACAAAAATGATAAAGATAAATGAGACTGTTGATACTGGTGGACAACACTTAGATTTTCATATTGTCTTGGATTTCCTTAATTTAGAATTGCAAAATTGTGGCAACCTAACTCTGCATCACAATTAATTAAATTCAGAAGTAGAGTTTTCTATTTAGGGGAGGAACTTTCTTCAGAGCAGATTAGCCGTCTTAGTTTTGTTGTTGCTGAGACAAAAACAAAACAAAACACCCAACACCCAAAGTTAAAGGAGGAAAGATTTATTTCAACTCACAGTATGTAGAGGTTTCAGTCCATAGTCAGCTGGGTCCATAGTGAGGGAGCATAAAGGGGCATCACAGAGGAGAAACAGTTCATGGCAACCGCATAGGAAGCAGCAACAGCAAGCAGCAAGCCTGCCTTCCCTCCCGTCCTTTGTAGTCTATTCAGGCTCTAAGTCTGTTGATTGTTGCCATCCACACCCTAGAACTATGCTATCCATTATCCACACCTAGAACTATGCTAAACCCATTGTGTTATCGCACAATCTTAATCCCACCCAGTATCACACACCCTCCATATAGCCACCTCCAAACATCCCACCTATGAGTGTGTAAAGCTTTAGGGGAACATCTAGATATGAACCAAAGAACTGGTTTTGTTCTGCCAGCATCTGTTGAGTGAGTCCTGTGCTGAGCCAGGAACTGGAATTACTAAGAAAAAAGTTAGACTTAAATGCCTATGCTTGGGGTTAGCAGTTTATCAGTGGCTACTCTTTCATTTGCTGTTCACAGTGATATTGTGTCAAGGACAGTAACAAAGCCCAGAAGAAGGTGTTCTAGAGTTCAGAGGAAAAGCCAGTTATTTCTTGTGAGGCTTCTCCATGTGGGTCACCAGGAAAGTTTTAGGGATGAGTGAAGTTTGCCGGAGATTGCTTTGTTGGGTCAGTGGTCTCCAGTTGTAAATGAATGGCCTTGTAATTTCTTTTTCTGTTGGTGAAAACCTGGCTCCCTTTATCCTCTATACATTTCTTTGTTCATTCTTTCTTTACGTAACCAATCTCT